AAAGTCTATGAGTCTATCCACCTCATTTTTGAAAACGTAATATTATTACAAGTGACACGTCATAACACTACAACAAAGATTTTAAAAAATATATTATTCCTTAGTAATTTTATTCTGACTATACACAATGTGCAAACAAATGAAGTTTCAGTGTCTCCCCTTGCATAATCAGTTTCCTGTATTTGTACAAGTCATTTACAGCAATGAAAAAGAAAAAAACATTTAAAAGCAAAAATTGCCAACTAGACTCAGGGACAGATATAGTATTTAAGATTAAAAAAAATTGTTAAAAAGTAAACTGAACAGTCAGGTATGTTCCTTTAATATTTATGTTCTGATATTTTCATAATAAATTATATTAATTGTACCTGCAGCGATATTAGATAAATCTATGCAAAAAATAGTGCTAGAGGAAACAGTGTAAAATGGTTTTAAAATACTGGACCAAATATTCATTCTTCTCTTAAAATAAAAAGTTTCAAATATTTTAAAAGCACTTGCGTAATAATCTAGCTCCTGGTGAGAGTTAGCTTTTGGCATGTCACCACGCTGCACAAGTAAAGTAACCTTTAAGTCTGTGGGTTGTTTATCCTTAATCATTACATTAACAAACATGAACATAGAGCAGTGGTTCCCAAACTGCGGTTCACGAAATGTATCGGGGGTTCTCAGAAAAAAAAAATCTGTAATGGTGGACAGAGCCGTCCCTAGGGACCCCAGGCGGGAGGGCCAGCAGCCCAAGCCCTGTGGAGCGCAGGGCCAGCAGCCAGGACCCCGGGCATGCAGGCGGCAGCTGAGACCCTGTCACTGGCAGACAGGAAAAGTTGGAAAGTATGAGGGGCAAAGTGGGAGGGGGAGCCACGCTGCACCTGGTGGGCCGTCCAGGCTAATCCCTGGCCCCGCACCACCCTGATGGCGGAAGAAAAAGTATTTGCACGCCAAATCAGCCGGAACCAAGGTCATTGTAACCAAAGCAGCGGTAACGACCCTCAGTTAGTCCATACTCAGTCATTCTCTGTAGCGTGCTGTTTTGCTCCAATGAGACATGAGTGAATCTTCTCATTTACTAAGTTGTTCGTTTGTTAGCGTTCCAGTGTGTTATTTTTATTTGAACTGTTGTACACCCAATATGGACAAGTGGCTGAAAACGGAAAGTGTAAAGACATGAGAAAATGAACGTTCGACATCAGCCAGTGTTTCGTCAAGTCCGAAGCGTGGAAAATCTAAGTCAAATGATCATGATGGTCCTGAAAAGTTGCTTTTGAAGAAAAGAAAATATGACAACGATTATATAAAATATGGCTTTACGTGCACTGGTGATCAAAAATGTCCAAAACCACAGTGCATAATCTGTGGTGGTGATCTAGCAAACAGCAGCCACAAACCTTCTCTACTTCGACACAACTTAGAAGCTAGCCACCCCGCACAACTTGACAAGCCTGTTGATTTTTTCAAGCAAAAATTAGTGGAGTGGAAAAGTGACATTACCAGTTTTGTAACCAAAGCAAGTACTGATAACGAAAATGCACTTGAAGCATCATATCAAGTGAGCTACCGAGTAGCAAAAGCATCAGAAGCCCATACCATAGCAGAGAGCTTGGTTGGTCCATGTATAAAAGACATAGTTCATTGTATGCTCAGTGAAAAGGCTGCAAAAAGAATTGACGTAGTACCTTTGTCCAATAAGTTGTCATTAATTTTTCGTGACATGTCAAGTAACATAGAGATCACAATTGTACATAGAGTGAAAAATAGTCCATATTATGCTATACTGTTGGATGAATCAACTGATGTTGCTAATCTATTTTGCTAGCATTTGTACATTATGTGAATGAAGGTCTGGTTGAAGTCAACTTGTTGTTTTGCCGACCATGGAAAGAACGTACAACTGGAGAAGATATCTTCAATCTGACTAATGCATATTTTCAAGAAAAGGAAATAGATTGGTCTCATTGCCTAGGCATTTGCACTGATGGGGCCACATCAATGACGGGGAAGTAGACCAGATTTGTAGCTCAAACAAAAAAGGTTGCATCAAATGTCTCTTGGACTCATTGCAATATCCATAGACAAGCCCTCACAGCAAAACGCATGCCTGAGGGACCAAAGGAAGTGCCGGACAATGCAATGAAAATAGTGAATTTCATAAAATCATGGCCAACAAATTCCAGAATATTTCACGTACTTTGTGAAGAAATGGGTAGTGTACACAACTGTCTGTTGTCCCATACCGAAGTTGGATGGCTCTCACATGGCAAAATCTTTGTGCGCATGTCAAGGTTCCCTCCCCACTCTGAACTTTAGGGTACAGATGTGGGGACCTGCATGAAAGCCCCCTAAGCTTAATTATCAGCTTAGGTTAACAGTAAGCTGCCACCACCAAGCGTGTTCCAAATCTTAGGGGAGAGCCACTTGGAACTCTGCCTTTCCCCAAATATTTCCCAAGTCTCTAACCCCCCCTTTCCTGGGCAGATTTGAGACTAATTCCTCCCGCCCAAGTCCTTACCCCCCTTTTTCTGGGTAGGCTTGAGAGTATACCCTCACCAATTAGTCCTGGTGAACACCGATCCAAAAACCTTAGATCTTAAAACAATGAAAAGTCAATCAAGTTCTTAAAAGAAGAATTTTAATTAAAGAAAAAAGTAAAATCATCTCTGTAAAATCAGAAAATAACTTTACAGGGTAATCAGATTCAAAGAGCCCAGCCGAACCCCCTCTAGCCTTAGGTTCAAAGTTACAGCAAACAGAGGTAAACCCTCTAGCAAAAGGAACATTTACAAGTTGAGAAAACAAAGATAAAACTAACACGCTTTGCCTGGCTGTTACTTACAAGGTTGAAATATGAGAGACTTGTTCACAAAGATTTGGAGAGCATGGATTGATGTCCGGTCCCTCTTAGGCCCAAGAGCGAACACACCCCCAAACAAAGAGCACACAAACAAATGCCTTCCTCCCACCAAGATTTGAAAGTATCTTGTCCCCTTATTGGTCCTGTGGGTCAGGTGTCAGCCAGGTTACCTGAGCTTCTTAACCCTTTACAGGTAAAAGGATTTTGGTGTGTCTGGCCAGGAGGGATTTTATAGTATTGTACACAGGAGGGTTGTTACCCTTCCCGTTATAGTTATGACAGCTTGTTTGAGCTTAGAACGGAAATCCTTGTTTTTTCCAGCAGCCACCCTTTCCACCTCGACAGCTGTATGGAAAATCATGTCTGGCTCCAGAGCCTAGCTTATTTAGCAGACATTTTCTTGAGGATTAATGCCCTAAATTTGTCTCTTCAAGGCCTCAACATAACAGTTTTCAACGTGCAAGATCAAGTTTAATCCATGATAAAGACGTTGCGGTTCTGGGAAAGGTGTTTGGAAAACAATCAAACTGAGTGTTTCAGTACTCTTCATGACTTCCTGGCAGAACATAAACTTCAGTTGGATCAGTGCACTAAAACCAATATCATTGCACACCTAAAAGGACTTTGCACAACATTCAGGGAATACTTTTCAGCTATGTCAGGCAATAATGACTGGATTTGCAACCCCTTTGAGGATACCACTTTCTCAACGCAGATATTGAGCACTGAAGAAGAACAGAAATTAATTGAAATTTCCTGTGATTACAAACTGAAGAGGAGTTTCAGAAGTCAGTCATTGATCAACTTTTGGATGAGTTTAAGTAATGAATACCCCGTGCTAGCAGAAAAAGCTACTATAGTTTTGTTACTGTTTTCAACATACTTATGCGAGAAAGCATTTTCCTTGTATGCACATCTGAAAACCGAATACAGAAGCAAACTCAGTGCCGAACCAGACCTGAGACTTTATCTTTCTCCAGTGGTTCTGGACTTCCAAGAGCTATGCAGATCAAAGCAAGTGCATCCATTTAAACTTTAAGACTTCTTATGAGAAATGAAAAGGGAGATGGATATTTTTTGCTGTTTCTAAAATTAAATAGGCTGCTAGTGTTGTTTTTTAAATTATTATGAAGAACAAGTTTAAGCTTTGGTATAGTCGTGCATTGTTTGCCTGGGCTGCTCAAGACCCAAATGCTTGTGGAAGGAATTCTTTATTTGAATTGGCTTCTTAAATACCTTCATGCTGGTTCATGTCTGGTACTCTTTGATGAAACATGTAGTAGCCTTGTCCTAGAACAGGCTTTATTGAAGTGATATGAGCTACAAAAGTGAAATCTTGGAAGAGTGTTGCCGTTTTCATAATGTAATAAAATTAATAATGTGATAATAAACAGTGTGTAATAAGTGTGTCATAAAAAAAACAAATTATTTCCAAGATCACTGCTTCTATAATTTATGCTCAGACAAGGGAGAAAATCCCTGGAAATATTCACTTTTAGCGGGCGGGGGGGTTCGTGAGATTTGGTATTTTCATGAAAGGGGTTCGTGGGTTGTAAAAGTTTGGGAACCACTGACATAGAGCGTACTCAATGTGAAAACTAATAAAAAGCCTCTTCATAGAAGTAAACCAAAGAGAATTCTGTAACATGTTTATGCAGCAACATTTAAATAA